AATCAGTGAAATTTTCAGTTAGAAATGCCCAAGATTTTTCTGGTTAAAATGCAATTTACGAAGGGAAATTTTGCAACATTGATTTGCAGTTACGTTCCTTCGTGCGGGAAACGACGAAATGTGCCTCTCAGCGTAATTTAATGGTGCCAGAGGGCCACTTTTAAAGCCCCACCCCGCGGCCGCATGGACTCAAATTTGTCTGTCAAAGTAAAACATGGCATAAATATGTCTATACTCAAGGATAATGCACGAAGAGATTGTTAGATAACGGATTAAACACTTTTGAAAGACTTTAAAGTGACCCTCCCATCCGCTTTCAAATTATTTTTTTCATCCCTCTTTCTAGGGTGCAGGGGCCAGAGAAACAGGTTGCGTGACCAAATGTCACCCAATTTGGTACTAAATGGGTCAGAGTTGTTGGAAAAATACAGTTTCAGTCGTTAGTATATTGACATAATTTTTCCCATTCATGTTTGTGAAAATCGCTCAAAAGTCCATCTTTAAGGTCAAAAATTTCAATTTCCTCAGTTTTCCTCAGTCTGTCACCCCTGAATCCTGGAAATACCCACTTTGTACTATAACATTCCGCCTTAAACCGCTTGAGCGCAGTTGAGCGCAAAAAGAAATCGGACTCTGAACTTCGAAAAAAACGTTTACTTTTACATCACTTTTCAACCTCCTGTGAAAATCACTAAAAAAGGAAATTTCGAAAATACTGTGGTTAGTTGTGCAGAATATACCCCTAAGAATGTGTTGCATATCGCCGAAGTTCCCTTTTATGGCCGCACAGTTGAAGTAAACTGATCGACGAGTAGCGCGCCAAAACATATCAAAATAATCGCTGAGAATTAGGTAACTTCGTGGTCTCTTCGCGGGAAATTGAGCCACTCGAAAAATGGTACATACATGTCTACCAGGGTAAAAAACAGTGTAGATTTCGAATATCATATTGGTTTTCCGATAAAAAAAAATTTAAAATTGAGGTTTTGGCCAGGTTTTTCGGTCAAATACCACAGTGTGCGCCGCCGCTACGCTTTGTGTTAGGCTCTAATATTGAATCTCGTGGAGTCAGCGTTTTTCAACTCATGACTTTGAAATGTTTGCACACTCTGTATGGATTATTTTCATTTTAATTGATGAAAAAAAAATATGTTTTAAAGGAAAATATAATGTGTGTTTTGTAAATAGTAAGGTGATTCCGTATGAAACTTAAGTATTGACAAAGCACACGAATTTCTACACAATTTCTTATAGCCTTTTATAGCCGATGGCTAAAAAGCAACAGCCAGGCGATAAAGTGTAAAGCCCGGCGATAGGAACTATAGCCCGGCTGTATAATTTATTATCGCTTCGTGAAGCCCGGCCGTATGAGTTTTTCCACTTTCTACAACCAGCTTTTTCTATCGCCTTCTTCAGTCGGCTATAAGAACTCCTATGGTATTTTGAAACGCAGCTCCTATCGCCAATTTTTACCAGGGTGCCTTCATTTATATAAATTTTGTCATTTTTTTTTTTGTTCAGAACGATTCTTTAGGCTTGTGCATAGGGGCTGTCTTCCTTAGATTGGCGAAAAATTCAAAATCTGCCGATATTTTTTACTTCATCGATCGACCGCCATGTAATGTACAGCACGGAACTTCGACCACGCCAGAATACAAGAAAAAACCACTATAAGCCCTTCTTCAAATAAACCTTTCAACTCCCGCTGATCTGTGCTCTGTGTGGAACTTTTTCGAATTTACCTTGTCTGAGGGCAGTTTTTCTTGGTCGCCATATTCGTCGGCAATCAAATTTGCTCGGAGAGATGCCTGTAAGAAAATCTCACCTATAAATAAACAACAACCTCGTAACCATTTTTTCATGTATGATTTCAAGCGTTTATTCTCTCCTTCCTTCATTTTATTGCTTTAAAAAATGTTTTTAATCAGTTGAAATCATACGTAAGGAAAGAAGAGGAACAGTTACCTACCTAGCAAAATTGTTCGTTTATTTAACGAGGGGGTACGCGTCTTGATCGCTTCGCGGCTCAGACGTTATATGCGCTACGCGTTGCTCATATGATTTTATATTATTGAGTATAATTTGGTTTTCTCTCGTCTCTCTATGGGCACAAAAACTACCTGTAATCAACAAAACCGGCTCACGAATGCGACATATGAAGGCGCGTGATAATAGCTCCTCAAATTATTGCGTCCATTAAGGAACAATTAAAGAGTAAATTTTAAGGTCAAGCCTGCAGGGATCCATATTGGATTCTGATTCATATTTTTTGCCACAAGGGTGTGCACTAGCACGCACTTAAACCCAACAAGAAAGCCTTGCGGGTGACTACATTGTCGAAGTCTTGGCTTCGGAACGGTAAAAATAAACAAAATTTTATAATGCCTGCACCCTGCACGGCCGGTCAAAAATCTGGCAACTTCATGCAATTCCGCGAAGCATGGATTTATTTACGTCCTACATCAACGAGTCGTATAAAATCCATTATTGATTAACTTTCTTGGCTCGAAGGGAATACTTTTAATAAGCAAAAAAATATAGCTGACGAAAAGAAAAACAAACTAACTCGAAATTCCAAGTTCTCGATGTGGAAATATGGCAAAGAACCATGGGTTTCACCTCCTTTTTTGACCAGTCTCACTCGCGCTTTTAACTTTCTCGGATCGAAAAGGCTTAAGGCTTGGGCTTTAGATGGTTACCCGTAGAAAATGCCAGGAGGACGTGGATTTAACGGCCTTTTTTAACCAGTTGCATCGACTCCATACTTAAAAGCGCATTTTGAAAGTACTTTGATCAATAGAAAACAAACCCGCGCGGCGTGTCCGTAGAGACCGAATTTTTTCATCATTTCGTCGCCCTCCTGACGTAAGGGCGTGATTACATACTATAATGGACCCTGTCGTTCATACAATTCAATGCTTTTCCGGGGTCATCTCAGTGTGTATTACGCTCTTTCATCAGCCGGACGACGATTTCAAAGCCAAACCAACAACGGTCCAGCGGCGTAGATTAGTGAGCATGCGGTTGCTTCAGAAACTTCATTTATGCCGAGCTCAGATTCATAATCGAACGCCTTCATTGTGAAAAGATACTTCCTAGCGTGACGGCGGAGGCCGAATAGTTGCATCATTAAATCGCTCAATCAACAGTGAGGAAGCAGCACGCAGATATTAGCGAGCGATGCGGTTGTTTAAGAGGATGCTTTGATGAAGAGTTCGAATGCGTAATCGAACGCCTTCATTGCGAAACGATACTTCCTAGCGTGACCGCGGAGGCCGAATAGTTGCATTATTTCAACAGCGCAATCAACAGTGCTGCAGCACGTGCAGCGAGTAATGCGGTTGTGTTAGATAATGTTTTGAAGATGAGTGACGACGCTTAGGAAACTCCTTCATTGCTAAAAGATACTTCCTAATGTGACACCAGTTTTTTCCAACAAAATTGCGCGCTTGGTGGCAGTTTTTCGGGGGGGGGGGGGACGACACTGACGCAGCGAGGAGGCGTTTTTCGTTTCACAAAAGAACTTTTTTTGGCAATTTTAAGGAGATTTTATAAAATGAATGCCTCCCGTAATTGCCTAACTCGGATAACTTTTTTATAGGGACGCACGCAACAGCAAATTGCGCTTTTTTATTTTCTCAGTTTGAAAGGGGGAAAAATCCTCTGACACCAAAATATCGTTGAAAAAAACCCTCAGAAATCCAGGTTCCGGATGCGGTCATCTAGGGAAAATGCTTCTTATGGATTTTACGTCCTTTTTTGAGCAGTCGCATTGCGATGACCAAAGTGCGACACCACGCATTTTCATTGCGATGTTTCGAAATGTCAGGTCCTACTTTTTTCTTCTTTCTTTTCTTTAAAGCGTTTAGAAACAAGTCAACTTTATGGTTTGAAATTATACAGAATATTCTGCTAACAGAGAAAAAAATAAAGGAAGGTTTCCCGCGGGTAATAACGTTGACTAGTTTTCCAAAGAAAAAATCAAGTATGACAGAAATTCTGCAACGTCGCAGGCGGAGTAACGTAGTTTCGCACTTTGGCCATGGATGAGCTTCCTTTATCAGCGTTTTATAGTATCTTGGACCGATAGAAAATAAATTTCTGTGAGTATCAAAATAGCATTGACAGCAAAACTCATAACTGTGGGCGCCAGAAGGTCACCTGGAGAAAATGTGGCAAGTAGTCTTGTACTTAAGAGAGTGTTCATAAAGTGGATCGCATTTAGCAAAAAGGAATCAGCGCGATTTCAACCTAGGTAAGTCTTGTTTCTTCATAATCATCTTAAAAATCTCCCAGAATAGCAAATAGTTTTTGTTTCCGCGCGACCAAAAAATTGTTAATTTTAGAAGAAAATACTTAAGTATGTAAATTTTTACAGTGCATTGGCACTAAGTATATTTAAAAAAAGAAGAAGTTGAACGATTTTGAAAACCCTGTACCTAATCGTGCTGGTTCCTTTTTGCCAAATGCGAAATGCGATCCAATTACGTAACGCACTTTTTTGGCATTTTCGGCCCCCTCCCTCCCTTGCAACAATTCGTAACGCAGCCTCACCCCTCCCCCTCCCTCCAGTGATAGGTACCTCAGCATGACACCCACCCGATCAGCGATCAGCTACCTATCTATGTATTACGGTTCAGTATTGAAAGCGCTCTTGCGAGAGGAAATAAATAGCAAAAATAAAACTGTGCGGCAATGAGTGTTCTGACGAATTTGGAAAGTGGGTTGAAATTATGCACAGAATTTATACGAAGAGATGTAGAAACACCGATGTCAAAAGTTGCAATGCATTTTTTTCATGCCGCTGCTGAGAACTTGACAGATTTATGGAATACGATTGGGCGATCCAAAATTGGGTCATGTAAGGCGTGCAGCAGCGTCTGCGCCATTGCGTTGCGCTCTTTCCATTGGCTTATACTAGTTGATGAATGTCTACGTCACGACCAATTCTGGCCGGCCCGGCCACCACCTTTCGTCATGATTTATTCTTTCCCCCCTTGCCTTCTCCCTTCTCCATCTGTTCTCCATGATGTGATTTCATCACCTAGACATTCAAGGTCCTGTTATCAACAATGTAGCGGTACCCCACGCAACTTGTCTCTGAGCTTTCCACAATGTTTCGCGACAATTCTGCCGTGCAGTAATTGAAAGCTTGAAAGTTCTTGGCGTTTAAAGTTAGGATGGCCGCCAAAAGTTCGTCAAGTGGCCGTGAGGAATCTAGGTAAGTAAGTTTCTGCTCTGAAACACAGCCGTCTGCTCTGTGTCCTGGCTCAGTCTGTTGTTGATTGTGAAAGATTGTGTTTGTTATCACACGAGAAAAATCGCAGCTGTGATAAACAATTCTCTCAGTCATCTCTTGTTAATGCATTACTTTGCAAATTTTTCTTTTACTTAACCTACATTCTGTTAACTGAGATCAAACAGTGCTGACAGCTGACATTGCCTCTTCTTGGATACTTTAGATCAGTTCCACTCATTCTACGGACCCATATTACCTTTATTTTTCCATCTTTAACTCAGGTGAGAACATTCTGACCAATTCACCACTTTTGAAATTAGCCTTCTGCTCAACGCGTGAAACTTGTTTGGTTTTTCCTCACTACGTAGAGTTAAAATTTCATTTACCTCTCTATACTTAGTTGCTAACTTAAGTGATATCTGCCCTTCCCACAGAATTACTTTTCCAAAATTTTTTGGTAAAAATATCTACCACGATGTAATTAAATGCACTATCTCCTTGTCAGATGTTGGTACTTAAGAACTTTCAGGAGTAAGGTTTGGAAAGTTTCGATACATCTAACAGTGAACTCCTGCCTGAACTTGGCAAACTGGAGCCTCCCTTTTTTTACATTGAAAGAGGAAAATTGGAGTACTTAGAGTTGCTTTTTGAACCCTATAAGTATCCTAACAGTTTTTGTAGAATATCACAATGATATACATCGCTAGTAATACCCATACTGCGCTTCTATGCACGTCAGCAGTTACTGGACCAAGGATTTTTTTGCAAATGCAAAAAATATTGATGGCTAAAGTACAAACCCTTGAATCTCTGTTTGCAATGTTGCAGACCTTCAGTCATGCTTTATTATTTCTTTAGAAAACTAGTCTACGCCATTTCTTGAAAACTTCCTCAAGTTTTCTCCTCTCTCAGCAGAATATTTGAATTTTTAGGATTTCAATTTGCTTTTTTCTCTCCAAAAAATCAAGTAAGAGCGGTAATTTTGAAACGCTGATGATAAGTTGTTTCACACTTGGGCCATCGATATGCATTTTGCGGAGGGTCTCTGTGCTAAGGGTTAGCAAGAAAAACAAACGCTCTCTGTTGTCATGGTGAGATGGGGAAGGAGGGGGCCAAGGAGAGCTACGCTATTTTGTTTTAATGAGTTAAAGGATAGGGACCTATGTCACAAAATCATGACGAGCTGGAGGGGGGAGGGTCGATAATTTCATAATTACCTGCCGCTAAGTCTGGTTAATTAATAAACGGCTCCCAATGCTACAAAGATTTCCTGAAATTTACCTCTCAGAAATGCTAATTTTATCATGCAATCAGGCACTGAGCTCACTGTATATCGGATTTTACAGGAGACCCAAAAATCAAGTTGCAATTATTAAGGTAGAAAAGCACTGTGAATTTCTGGAAAATCATCAGTTTTACCATCCTTTGTGGTTGGTATTATTATTGCTCATATACTTGAGAGAGGTCTTATCCTCATTAGTGCGCTTACTGACGTATATCATCGCAGTGTTCTGCATAAATTTTGAGGGCACAACATTTTAAAGAAAGTAGCAGCCCAACTGAAGCTTATTTGCCTTATCAAGCCTCATGAATATGCAATGTTTACGCTCCAGTTCATTTTGAATACTTAACGTTTTCTCTCAATACTTTCTCCTTTATTCCCTTCATCAAAAGATATCCAATAAAAAAATTCTGTGTGAAGTCCCACAAAAAAGTGATAGATATCTCATTCTCTGAGTAAGTATCATCATCAAATCTTCATCAAGTCCACAGGTACCTGTTATTTTTTTTCTTCGCTTTCTAGGAAAATCAAAGGTAGATTAGGAACCTGTTTCAACGCTAGAAGAGTCTGGAAGGTCATATTACTGAGTCTTAAAAATTACTTTTTCCGGATTTATGTACCATTCTTTTAGGTACCTGGGTCACTGTGTTGGAAAGTTGCATTTTTCTAGTGACTTCGTTAGTTCTATCAATTCTTACAAATTTGGTACATATTTGTATGGTGATCTTTGGTTGATTCATTTGTACTTTCTCACAATCAAATATTATGTTTACTTACCCATTAAAATTGTTTTATTTTTTTGTTTTGCAGACTCCATTCATGCTCCAAAGTTGGTGATACCTCATTTCCTAACAAAAAGTTTCTGACAACTCCTGTGATGACTGGTTAGTATGCCAATGAAATCCAGAACTCCACTTACTGCATGCATAATGAGAAGATAAGCATTAGATTATTTAAGCAGATTACAAAATTATTTGTACAGACAAATACGCAAACACGGCAAAGTCCATCAGAGCGCAAGTTGGGTTTAGGACTGAAATTAGGTGGGGTCAGAGTAGAGACCCCTGCCCAGTTAAAATTTGAGTTATGTGTGCATTGGACCATTCTTGAGAGAGTTAATTTATGCAAACATTTCAAAAACAACTTTTTAAAGTTTAGAAAGTGCTAAAAACCAGTGTATTATTCTTAAGAGTTTTTTTTAACAATTCTTGCACTCAAATTTGACCTCTCCCAAATTTTCCGTCAAAAAGGGTCATAAAGGGTCATAAAGGGTTTCCCTCTTTGTAAATTTTAACAGTTTTATCAAGAGTTTGTTTAATTAAAATTTCCAAGTTTTTTGAGAGATTTGTTACTGTCCCTGCCGCTAGGGATGTTAAAAAGATTGATTTTGCCCATTGGCCTGAAGGGACGGGATGATAATACAGTTTTCGGGAGAAGAATCTGTGGCTTTTCTCCCTCCAGATTGCAAGACCTCCCTTAATCCATTTTACTTGCGCAAACCAAGAAACCTGCCTTGGCGCGTTTGAACACAAATTTGGAGATTGAACACAGCCATCAAGAGTGTAAATAGCGCTCCTATGAATGATCATAGTTCATCCTGACACCTGTGCTTCAAAGCCTAGTTGAAGGAAGTGGTAGTTGGTGAAGGATGGGCAGAAAACGTGACCACCCTTATTGTTGATAGCGACCGAAAAGTCTGGTAAGGGGACGGGAAACACAGCCGTTAAGTGTCCAATAATGAAAAATTGTAGGAAAAACATGGGTGGCAGGACGGAGCAATTGAGTTGGAGAGGGGCAAAAACATCATTTGTAAGAAAATGTATCCTAAAGCACAATATGTCCACACTTTATTAGAGTCTCTGTAATCTTATTTCTCTTTCACCCTTTGGATTTTGCTCAGGCGTTCATTTTCCTCGTAGTAGAATTTATTTTCCAAAAGTCAATTTTTTGTATTTTAAAATAACTTTACTTACCACTCTCATTTGTCCTGTAACAGAGGTAATGACAGAAAAAGTTTTCAATGATAGTGTTCATGGGCACATCAGGCTTCATCCCCTGTGCGTCAAAATCATCGATACTCTGCAGTTTCAACGATTAAGAAATTTAAAGCAACTCGGAACCACTTACCTAGTTTTTCCAGCAGCATGTGGCAAACGTTTTGAACATTCCCTCGGGTAAGCCATTTCTCCATCCTTCATTCCTACATTCTTTTACCAAGAGCTTTCTGGAATTGCAAACCCATAATTTTCTAGAAGCCATTCTAGGATCCTCGCCGCCAATTTAATTATTTGCACAAACCTCCTGGTATATGCCATTTCTCTTGTATTAAATTGTGTGCACAGCATATTATGGAGTTATAGCCACTGCTCTCTAAGTTGGTGAAATTTTAGCAACAGTATCCTTGATGATATTCAAGGTTACCAAGTCCGAAGGTCAAACCTGATAGTTTCTCACACCATAAATTTCCTTCATCAGCTGTAGATTTTGTTGAAGAACTAGCAAGAAAATTTAACACTAAACAACATGTAAACACGAAACAGCAATTCTATGGATTTCAAATAAATTCTATCAAGCCAAAAGCTGTGGACCTTGATGTGTTGTTAAAAGTCCTACACAATCATGTATTTGTAGAATACAATGTCTCTAATGTTTACGTTTGAATTACAATTAATTTGTATTTGTTCAATTCATGACAAATCTGAAGAAGTCATCTTATCCTCAATCTTCAAACATGAGCACTGTACAACTTTAGAATCCTCTTAAGTTTATTTGTGAGGAAAGAAATTATCAAGATTTAGCAAGAGTCATTTTCCCTTGAGCTCTTCTCATTATGATATTTTTTTTTTTAAACTTATAGGGTTGCATATTTAGCCGGCCAAATGGTGGAAGCTCTAAGGTCAAACTGCCCAGAAGTTCAAATTTTACCTGAAGAAAAATTAAGTGTGGAAATAGCAGGCCTGTGCCATGACCTAGGTCATGGCCCCTTCTCTCATCTGTGGGAGCATTTTCTGAATGATTGTGATGTGAAATGGAGGGTGAGTGTGCAATTTTGAAATTTTGTGTAAGAATTAATTCTAGACAATCATTGATCTAACAGCTTAGGGGAAGGAGAGTGCCAAATTTTTCCAAATGGAGGTCTTACAAGCATCAGGGATTTGCTACCGAGATACCCTTACTTGTGTAAAATTTTGCAAGAAGCATATTAGTGCCTCTGGTATTTTCTAAAACGAACTCAAAAACTCTCAAAGTTGAGGCCATCATGAGGGGATTACTATACTGCTGTGCTAAGGAAGAATGCCGTATTACCATCCAAGAGTTGCCAATTTCTCCAGATAAAACATGTATTTTTGAGGAAAGTTATGCATATTTTTCCGTGAAGTTTTCAGGTATGTATGTGCAAGTTGCAAACAAAATTATCTGAAAAAGTGGGGGAAAAAAATACTCAAAAATTTTCCAGTAAATCCGGTTTTTAGTCAAGGAAATGTGGCAACGTTTTAAGGCTCATACGGCGTTTATCCTTAGCACGGCAGTATAGTGAATGTCCACTTTTGTATCCAGTCAAACTCTCCATGCACAAATAGGGAGCAAATACACTAGCAGTGTTCCTTCTTTTTGTTAGCGCTCCAAGGATGGGCACAAGAGAATTTGTACATGGAAAATTTTACTGAGTGTAGAGGCAAACTGTCACCATGCAAAACTATGAACGAGGTCAGAACAAGTTAAAGGATACAATTTTGAAATTTCGCGTTTTCACTAGCATTTTAATTAATTTATTGGAACGCGTTTCAGAGTTTGCCGACAGCTGAGGATGGAGCCTATTAAGCTCTGAAGTTAATAGCCAGAGTGTTTACAGAAATACTTAAGAGCTGCACAGATTTTTTCCACTCTAGAATGTTTAATAATCATTACTTTTTTTCCCTCGATGTCTTTCAACCAAATTTTTTATGGGTAAAAATTTTTCAGTAAAACTTGAAAAACTTATCATGTTGTGTGAATATTATTTTGTTTGTTTTTTCTTACCCAGCATGAAGACTGCTCAGTTTCAATGTTGAAACACCTGGTGAAGGAAAATAACTTGGAAAGTGAGTTTAAACGATACAATGTTAACATTGATCTTGTGGCGGAGCTTATTTTGGGCGAAGGACAAAGACTACCAAATAAACAGTATTTATATCAAGTATGTATCTTTCAATTTTCAATCTCTTTTCTATAATACCAGTAACTAGTCACTGCTTTTTGGTCCTCAATTACTGGAAAAAAATTCTGCCTAAATAATTGTAAAATAGCCATCCTCAAGTAATTTGTGGGTTAGGGCAACGATGAGGTTTGATGCGATTATGATGTTTAATTTATTATTAATTTTTTTTAACCATGATAGCTGCTCTGAGCCCTCGTAGTAATTATCTTTTACTAATTTTCCCATTAAAAAAAAAAAAAAAAAAAAAAAAAAAAAAAAACTTCTACATGATATCAAAAATTAAGGGAAGAACCATTAGTTGATTAATGTGTGTGTGTGATCTGTAAAATTTTGAAACATGTCACTCAAAAACAATTGTGTTGTAACGTTATATCTCTTTAATCCTAGTCTCCTTAATCCAAAACAATGTTGTTTTGAAAATCTCAAATTTCATTTGAGGACAAGGTTGAATTAATATTTTCTAAGGAAGAACAGGTCCTACTAAGTTAAATTTCAATGCAACTTGACAGTGCAATTATACTACCCATGAAGACTGAAACAGTAAAATGCTGTAAAGTAGGTGTGCTGTTATGTGTGATTTTTAAATTTTTCCTTTCAGATTGTAAACAACAAACTCAACGATATTGATGTCGATAAATGGGACTACTTTTTGCGTGATGGAAAGCAACTGAACATTTCAATTTCCTTTGACTACAGGAGACTGTTGACATTTTGTCGCCTTGTGAAGTCACCTATCACGGGTGACTACGTCATCGGTTTTCGAAATAAAGAGGCTGTCACAATTAACGATATGTTCAGAGTTCGAGCTGATCTTCATCTACGAGCTTATCAGCATCAAGTTGTCAAAGTATTAGAACTAATGTAAGTTAATGCCACCTACTTTCCCTATGAATAATTTCCTTTTTACTTTGAAGGTATAAATTAAAACTTGTACAAGCTAAAATTTTCCTTTAACTACTAGCTAAGTAGTATCCATATCTGACTGTCCTTATGTAGAAAAATGGACCCCAGTCTACCATCATTTGTAATCGAGTTATTGGCACCACAGCACAGGAAATCTAATATTATTTATCTTGGAAACATTATATTTTATTCAGTTCAGGAGTAGAAAATTTTTGGAATTACCTCTGATAAAGTTATGAAATACCCTCAGAAATATTTTTATATAAGTTTTCAATCTTGTATACTGATTTCTCATAAGTGCTCTCTTTGATTTATTTCCAAGGTTTGTTGATGCCTTTGTTGCGGCAAAAGACGATTATACAGTCAATGCAGATGGTAAAACGTAAGTACCAGGTTTTCTTATTTTCTTTTCCATTCTAGAACTGACCTCTGTACATCAGTGTAATTAATTTTAATACTGATTGAAAAACAAGAGAAGTAAATAAAAAGGATTAAAGGAAAAATAAAGCATGTCAAACTGAAAAATGATCTCCAGAGGTTTCTTTGAAATTCTAAACTCTCTTTGAAAAGTTCTGATCATACTAGGAAACTTTCCTACCCATTCTTCTATGTCATTGTGCTTGATTTGATTCAGATAGGCTCGAAGTTTTAATTAGTGCTTGATTTGATTCAAGTAGACTCATAGTTTTTCTTGAGAGCAGGAAATTCAAATTTTCCGTAACTGATGCTTAACAAAAACAAAATCTTAATTAAGACTTATTTTCAGTAATTTTTGTTGCACAGATCTTGTTCTACTTATTAAATGTAGGTGAGAAGGTTTTTATCACAATGATAAATTTTGCACCTTGTCTAGACTCTAGTGGTCCACTGCGCAAGAAAATTATCACATATTTGTTGAAATTGGATCATCAGATGTATTTAGCCATGATTTGGACTTTTGCATCTCAATTTGAAGTTAACAATGCTTTTATCTTGTCCATCAGATTGGAGAGAAAATGGTCTCAAAAAGATTGTACTGTTTTCAGGTTTAAGTTACACGAAGCTCAAGAAAATATGAATGCCATGTCTAAACTCTCTGATCACATTCATCATGTCCTGTTGTATGATAGTCGCTTTGATAATCATCCGGCCAGGAATATACTGCAGAGGATAAGCAGACGTCAGTTGTACCCCTTGGTGCACCGCTTCAATATCAATGAAATCCTGGTGAGTTATTCATTGCGAGTTGAAACCAGCTAAACTAGAAGATTTTTTCTTTATTTTTGTTGTAAACATACATGATTGGCAGAAGTAAATGGGAATTCGTTCAAATTTACCGCAAAATACAACTGCACAAGGCAAACCGCCTAAGGAAATGTAATACTAAAATAATAAGAACTCACTTGCTATGTCAAAATCATTATGCCAGAGACATTTTGGATTCAGTTGCACTGAGAATTGGCTGGAAATCAGTACGCACCTGCCGTAATAATTTTGACTCTGCAAGTGTAATTTTTCTTCTAACCCCTTAAACTTTTTTGGAATTGAGCAAGATATTTCTGACTTAGATTGTTGTTCAGCAAATGAAGAAAAAATTTACTCGAATATTGTACCAACTATCCACCTCCAAGGGAGACTTTTATTTTTGAAATTCAAGAAACATAAACTCCCCTAGGCTTTATAGTGATGTGAGGGGTCAAAACCAATGGTCGTTTTTAAATAACGTCTTAGGAAGCCCTCCTATAATGTTTCTATGAAAAATACTTAAAAAGAGAACCTTTATAACCAGAGTGGCATGTCTATCTCCTTTTCAAAATGGTGATGTTTCAAGGTTCGGAATTTTCCAACTGTCATTTTAAACTGGTGAGAGATATTGATGATGTGATTGTGCCTTTTGGGCTGACTTCTGCCTTGGCCCACAGTCCTGCTTTTTGCACTACCCAGCACGAGGAAAGCTTTGAACCTGGTGTGCAGCAGGTTGTTGGTAACATCTCAAGTTTCATGTTAATTTTCTGTCTCTCTAGAGTGAAAGTGCTCCGAATATAAAGAAAGATGCCTTAGCATATACTGTCAGGGACTTGAGAAAGGTGCTGAACGATAAAATTCCAGGACACAAGTTTAGTGCAGATGCATTAAGACTTGATTTTGGATCTCACATAAATCCCCTGTCCAAAGTTGTCTTTTTCAAGAAGCCATCTTCTAGTCGACACCCTGCAGATTTAGAGGTTGATCACCATGCCGTGGATGAATTATCAAAAATCCTTCCGTGTCAGTTGTAAGTATTTTCACCCTTTTTTTGTCTTCTCCTCTACTTACTCCTATCTTTCAATACATTTCTGTCTCTTGTCAACTAAATTTTTCTGTCCATTATGAACAGAATCATGATAATCCCTTAAAAAATATAAGACTCAGTCAGCAAATGAAGTAACTTATTTCTGAAACAAACTCGTGTAGGGTTGCCACAGTTAGGGAATACTGGGAAATATCTAGAAATTTTACAAAGTCAGGAAAAAATTGTAAGTCATCTTCATTTGCTTTCTAGAATGGATCTGACGTTTTGAACAACAAATTTTGCTTTTAATTTATTTCAAATTAAATCTCTTTAATCATCCGGTATATCTTTAATTGTCCGTCAGTTTTACCAAAATGTGTTAGGAAAATCAGGGAATTGTTAAGGATATTCATCCTCTAAATTCTGTGGTAACCCTGCACAGGAATCTATGCCAAGAAATTCTAAAAGAATGGCATTTTGCATATCAGTAAATGCAGCTTTTTTAGGGTATTTTTATTCATCCAAATGCATTTCAATCCCAAAGGGTCATCTTCAGAAGCGCTGGAAATATTCTATCAGAACATCGCATTTGGATCAATCAAACACCTTAAAACACTGAACCTGCCGGCATATTTTGTAAAAATCTGCTAGAGCTGTCAACAGGTTTGTCCTCAATGAAAATTAGCGAAATGCATCTTGCGTGAAAATGTATTACAAATAAAAGGAAGAAAAAACAAATCAAAACACGCATTTTTTATGGCTCAAGTAACACACTGTTGTATTCTGTTGTATTCAAAATCGTGAATAACAAATTCAACTGTATGTTAATCTATACGGTAAACAATGCGAGTTTTGGTTTATTTTTTCTTCATTTTAATGTGAATTCGTGTAATTAGAACCAGCAAGATTGAAATCCTGATGACACAAAAGCAGATCCAGCCTAATCTTTAATTTTTTTAGTTTCCATTTTACAAGTATCATGAAAGTTTTATTGATTTTCTCACATCAATCAACAGCAAAATATAATCACACTGATTAAATGTTTTTATGTATCCTATCTCACAGCTAAATATCTATGGGCTTTTTTTCCTCTTTCTTCAGGAATACTGGAAATAAAATAGAAATTCTTGTTTTTGCGGAAGAAGCAAAGGATCTCCAATCACTATCTACTGCAGTTTCTCAAGCCTGTCAACAGTATTTGCCTGATATTCTTTGTAAGTATATGCCATCTTCGTAGTGTAAATTACAAACTCATCATTTGTAGATAATCTTTCTTTTTTGGGCTTCAAAAGTCCATTCTGTTCTTCTCATTTGTTCTTCTTGTTGGAGTGTTCCGTTTCAATGGAAAACAGATTTTCTCATAATATCCTTCTTTCATTAAAAAAGACACCTCGACGGCTAAGGGACAATACCACCCATCATAACTGCAAACTGACGATTTTACAAGATGAAGAAGAAACTTCTCCATTTTTGTGATTTTGAGGTTGCATGCAATTTTGTGTATACATTGAAGCGTCATCACAGAGTCATTACAGCCCTCTCATACGGAATTGGAAAAAACTTAAACCATCTACTTACATATCTATTTTAGACTGTAGAATGCAGCAAAATTTCTAACTTATTTTCCCAGATATTGCCAGTTAGGTGGTATTGTACCTTAGCTGTCGATCTTGATTTAGGTGGTATCACATATCTTGTAAATTCTCTAAGATAAACATCTCATAAAATTGTTTCATCTTTGAAGCTAAAATTGTTACCTTTTTAATTATGTAGAGCCAAGTTTCAAATCAGCATAGCTGATGGATTTTGAATCTCTAAAAAGGCATTATCATAGGCGCCCACTAACAATCTGATCAATTTTTGTTTCTTATAAAATGTGCACTTGTACAACACACAGTAAGACATTCCCAAGTATAACCTGCATGGCAAGTTTTGACTGTTTAGAATCAGAAATTATACAGGGGCTATATACGGGCGCCTACGATTCCTACCTTCGGAAAAAGAAAGGACAGAAAGTGTTTAGAGGAAGGGTGATAAATCAAAATTTACCTGTTTGCAAATGTAAGTTTTTCTGGTCAAGGCAATGAAGTAGATGAATCGCTGTGTTGGTATTTTGTCCAAATTTCAATTAACTATTGGATAAAAACTGGAATCAACCTGACTGCATTTCACTTTCACATCGCCTAGTTTTCTCTCATGGCTCATATTTTAACAGAGAACTCAACTACTAAACGCTCTTAACTTTTCTGTGCATTTGTCTTGGATTATGAAAATTGTTGTTGCTGTCAAGTTGCAGTATTGTTTAGTTATCTGTCATAAAAAAAAATTCTGATGTAGTCAGGCTGTTTCGTTTTAAGGTTATTCTAAGAGATCTAGGGCAGAGGTCCCCCTCTCTGTATGCTGCTATCCAGATTGTGCCCTTGAGAAGCAATAATTACTTTAATTTACAAATGAATGCAAGAAACTGACCCAAAACGTGTATAAGTATTAACTCCAGGTAGTATGACATCAAATTTGTGAAGATTCATTGAAAATTTATATCAAAAATTACGAGAATGGACTTTGTTCATCAACTCAACGTGTGAGAGAGATAGCATCATACATAATATCACTCTTCAAGGAATTGAGTCAATGAGGTGAATCCGTTTTTATAATTTTCAATATAAGTTTCCAACAAATTCTCATTTTGATGATATAGCTTTACTACATTATCATACCTTTATGGATCAGCTTCTTGCATTAATTTATAGATTATGATAATCATTGCTCTCAAAGGCACAGACTGTGAAGCGGCGCAACGCAGAGGAGGATTTCTGCCTCAGATCACTTGGAATCACCATAAATCCGTCGAAGTGTTCTAAAGATTTTGTAACGTAAAATTCCAAAATTTGATCTTGCCAAATGTATTAAATTTAAAATATTCATTCTAAAAGCTTCACTTTTTTGCTAGGGACGCCAAATTTTTTGTACCTAAGTAGTTTTGCTACTGAGTGACGGATGAACAAAATTTTCCGTTTTTAGTATACAAAATGATGTGTTCAGTAGCTCATGTTTGAGAACTTACTTAATCAGGGTACCGTACCTGCCTGTGATAAGATATTTACAAATTTATTTTATCTAGGTTTTATAGCATTGGGGGTATTTTATGGTGGGTTTTGACCAGCAGAATGATTATTATTTTGTTTTTCCATGTATAAATACTTTATCTATCCTTATTTATTTCTTGAAAGTGCACTGGTGTTCAATAGATACAATATGTAGCTTGGGGTACGCAGAAAGGAACTATCCCATTTTTTTCTGGAATATAAGTCGGAAGTGATCGAAAAGTTTGATCAAAATCAAAAGGTTCAGAGCTAAAAACGCATCAATTGCATTATGTGGGAGAGTCTCACCTCAAAATGTATCTTTATGCATCAGCAAGTGCGCGTTTCACATCTCTCTCTTTAGGAATTTGTACTAAATCAAGCTCAGAAAAAATTCACAAATATTTTAAAGGATGTTCCGAAATCGTTCATGAGTAAATAAGTATCTTCTGAAGTAGAAACTTTGCAACATTGCAATTTAGTATTGTCCCGCTATAGCTCTGAGCCTTCCATTTATTTTTTATTAGAAAAATAGAAAAGAAAAACCTGCAATTTTACCCTTTGCAATGAGTTGAAAACTGAATCATCGAGGCTCATGGAGCATACGAACTTCAAACCTGTTCTACTCTGAATTAATTTTGTCCAGGTTAGTTCCTTTCCATGCAACTTGGTCCAAGTAGTTTTATGTATTATGAGTTTATCATGAAAGAATCTCCTTGTAAGTCAAAACGTGTAGCTCAACTTAGTACATCACTGATTTTTTTTTTTTGGAACTCCTTGTTTCTGTTTGGCATAAATACATTAATATACTTTGCTTTGTCAAATAATCTCCAAAGCGATGACCAAAGTTTAAAATCGCGCATCTCCATTTACGACATTGCAGACTTTCCGGCATACTCCCCAGCATACTTTATTTTTTCTTACAAAGTAAAACTAGTCAATTTGATTTCTTGAAAACTCATCGATTTTTCTTATCTGTTAGTGGAATATTCTGTATGGATTTCAAGCTATGAAATTGGCTTCTTTCCTCTAAAAAAACTGAAATAAGAGCGGAAATTTTGATACATCGCAATAGAGATGCGCTGTTTCCAACTTCGGCTATCAAAATATTATCCAGTAGTGAAGAGAAAATGACATCTTGTCTCTCTTTTACCATGACAAGTGAAGAGTTTGTCAGTTACCATTGATTTTGTACATTTATTTCTTTGCTGATTGAAGGTTTTAGGTTTGTTAATTGCTTCTATGTTTATGTTTTTTATTTTTCCGCTTCTTTCCCTAGGTATAATCTAAACCATAAAATTTATGGTGAATCCTTTTTCTCTATTTTCATTCCTTCTGCTAATTATTTTTTTGGCAACTTTTGGTGTTAAAAGAGAGAGAATGAACAAGTCAGATCAGTGTCCATGATATCCTAAATTCATACTTTTGGTAGTATGTTCACGTATTTAGTATACCTTATTTTCACGATTAGAATTGAGAAGAATGAGTATCCAAGTATGAATAACATTCACTTGGATTTCAATCACTCTGACAATGTTTATTTGTGTAAAGAACAAATGTGTGGTAGAAAATTCTGAAACCAAGAAGTGCTCTTATCGTACTTAAGTCCTCAATTATAATTGCAGACTTAAAATTTGGATGGATTTTATAATCTTGCACTAAAGTATCGTTGATTTAACTATCAAAATATGACTTCCTCTCAATCGCAACGGAACTAACAAGCCCAATTTTTATCTTGGTTCACTGTTTTTAAGCTAAATTTTCTGTTGGTATCAAGGACAGAAAATCTCCTAATTTTGTTTGTTTTCATTATAATGTTTATTAGTTTTCTTTTTCTACTTTTTCGTATTTCTATGTATCGTAAATTTAATTTAATTTTCAAATTGAAAGTTAATCACTTGTTTTTCAAAATTGAAACCAAAAAACTTCTGCTTTTGATGTATAACCTTTTGAAGAAATGTTTTCTATGTGTTATTTGGTTATTGTAATTTTTTAAGTCATCATTTGGTTCACTTTAGTTTGTTTTTTTCTGCATAAGTACTTATTGAAGGTATTCTCATTTTGTTCTTTTAATCACATCTATATGTTACCTTAGACTCTAAATAATTCCTCATATCAAAAGTATTTGTCTGTTTCTATTCTGAAGGTTCAGACTTATCAGTTTTTTTCTGTTTCAAAGTACAACTCCCCTAGTTTCACTGACCATTAAAGGCCTTTAAAAATAAGTCGAAAAATTCTTAAATTGTGCAAGTTAAACTATTACTGTAAAATTTGCTGTAAAATGGTTTGTTTAAAATATGTCATGGAAGCTTTGGCATCAAAATTTTGCTACTTTCTAAAAATGACTCATATTGATACTGAACATAACATAAACTTTTAGAGACACAATACAACATTAGAAACTGAAATTGCGTGCAACAGTTCTGTCGAAATTGACTTAAAGAAAGTGACAAAAAACTTAAAATAGTGCAATATTTACCTGATTGATAACAGAAAAGATTTCCTCACTCCGATATTGTAACAGTTTTTTTTTAGGAATTTTCTTTGCACCTCACAATTTTTCAGATTTTTTTTTATTAAAAGCCAATGCTGGTAGAGATCTATCTTTGCAGTTAATAGCTGTTAGAGGTGAATTCTTGCAAGGACAAACGAGCATGTAAATATTGACTGTATTTACTGCATTGTATATTGTTTTTGTCTTTAATTTTGAGCAAAAAATGAATCCATTAGGTCAAAAAAACATGTTATTTGTATTTTCCTACAAAGTCTCTATTAAAAACAAGTCAAAAATCCGCAATCCAATTTCAAAATATTTAACCTTGATTTAAAAAACAGAACAGTGAATTGAGCATTTGACAGTGAAACTTCCAAATCATACGCCTTAGTTTGCAGCGTTGTAGACATCTTGTAATACTTGATTTTTTAAATGGAAAACTACTCGTTGTCAATTTTTGAAAACTTGAAGAAATTATGTTGATTTGGTCTCCTTAAGAAAAATAATATGAGAGTGGAGGTTTCAAAACATTGCAAACGAGATATGCGGTTTGGGAGTCTTACTGTCGATTTGAATGTATTTGCTTTCATTTTCGGTTTTTGAAGGACTAGCCTGAGTGGAGACAGCCTAAACGCCTAAACATACCACTCGCTTGAATAGTCCTTTTTTGACTGGAATACGGAGGTGAAACCAGCTACATAGCAGAATTTGTTTGATATCCAATCGTTTGTTTTACTTCTGCAGGAGCGGAAGATTCAATTGGTGCTTGGACATGGACCAAAAGAATAAATTTATTCTCTTGGTCCATGGCTTGGATGAGACGAATGTTTGGTTCTAAATATTTGGGTGAATTTTAGTTCTCCCTCTGTGCTATACATGTTGTATCTCTTTCTTCCAAAATGTTATTCTTTTTCTATCATGCAGGTTTTAGCAAGCTACCAAACCGTTTGTTAACACCCTTACTCAAATCAATGCATGCTGGAAGGGCATCAGTCCAAACACTCATGAGCCCTAATGTCCTGCTTACTCAACCAAAGCCATGGCTCATGAGCTTTTTAACTTACGCCTTTTTAGCATGCAATCATTCATTTTAACTTTGTAACCATGCGGGTTATCTACTTAGTTAGCTAGGTTATTTCGAACAATATTTTCACATTTGGAAGTTGCATGTAATCTCTTTTTTTCTCTTAATGGTAATTTTACCAAAAATTAGAAGTATCCAAATGCATAGTATTTACCTTGAAATAATTAATTTCTTTGCTTTTCTTAGATACAGCATATCTTCCATTGATTTCCTGCGTAAATGTAGGTGCTTTTCTTAATGTATTGTGTTCTTAATTTCTGTTTGGTAAGTGATGCCCAAATGGTATTCTTCCTTTTAACTAGGTGCATCTAAGTAATCCATGTTTGTTTACCCATAAAGTTTCTACATGTTTTTTACTTATGTTTTATTAAATTTTTTTGTAGTCTTTTCCTTACACTTTAAGTTTATGGAATTTTTAACAGTCAAAATTTGAGAGAAAAAATTTATGTTTCAAAAACTCGTTGTTTGCTAGCAATAAATTTGATTTCAAAACTAGTCCCACAGAATTTTTCATTTTAAATCCTTAAAGTGAGAACCAAATGTTCAAAATTGCATTTTTACAGAGGATACCAGTAATTATAATTTTTCGATTTTTCCCTTTTTTATTTCCTTTTTCAAAAGTTACTTTCTTTTAGAATGTTGGATCATTATCTTCTAAAAAATTAAATGAAAATAATAGCTTGTTTTACCATCAATAGGAACGTTGTATGATCCATGGAAATGCCTAGAAAATAGAGGTCTTCAGGGTGAATTTTAGCAAGAGATGCATTTCCTAGCTTTAAGGAACCTTGAAACAGCTTTTTTCAGAGAGATCTTCAACAAACATAGGCCACCTTTAGATCCCTCATCCTTGACTTCTCTTCTCACTGGTAACCACTTAATTTTTAGAGGAACTCAGATAAGTACCTCCTGTGACAAATTATGTATCTGAGACAGAATATGCCTGAAGAAAAAATGCAGGACAGAGTTTGGGTAAAATTGACAAGAGGTAAATTTAAATGAAAAACATATAAAACTCTTGAAAGATTTATCCTAAATCTAGTTTTTTTCTATTGAAAATGGATGAGAAATATGTCAAAACACTTTTAAAAAAGCAGTGTGTAATTTTTTTTAAAGACTTTTTCAACGTATCTAAATTTTACCATAAATAAATGTTCTTTAAAAAAGCAATTAATCAGAATACCTAGGGGTTTCCTGAAAATTATTTTTTAACAGTTTCATCAGAGTTTTTGAAAAGTCGTTTTCTAAGCTCATTATGACCTCAAAGGGAGTTTTGAACATGCCATATTGCACTTCAATGGGAAAATAGTGGAATCAATTAAAAAAATCTCTTATTTTACCTCACAACATGATTATAATTTAAACTCACCAGTTTTAAAATAAACTCAAAGTTGGTGAAGTATAAGCTAGAAGAACTGACTTAATTACCCTGTGACATTTCAAAGTATAACTCAACCACTTGATTCTTTTTATTCCTTAATGAGTGTGCGTTTCACCATGAAAATTTAAAGAAATTTTTTGTTAAATCCCATGTAAAATCTACAAAAAATTCCCAAGAAAATTTCAACCACAGACAAATCATGGCTTAGTGCAAAAAATGCGTTACCTACTCAATCATTTGCAACATCTGAAAGTCTCCTATCATGTGAATAACTAATCAAAACGCTTTTTTGCTATTACCTATGCACAAGTTTTTCAAAATGAGCACTGAAAACTTACAACAAATAGTAAATACTGTTGGTTCGTTTTCCTTTGAAAAACCAAAGCATGAGCAGAGACTTACAAAGCCTTGCATTTTGAAGTACACATTTTTCGATTTTAGTCATTGAAATAAAACTTTCCAACTTTGCAATGTACTCAGGACTCTGCCGTACAAAGGAAGAATGCCGTATGAGCCCTTAGACGTTGCCAAGTTTCCTCTGATAAAAACAGAATTTAATGGGAAAATTGTGAAAATTATTTTCCAAAATTTTCAGACAGTGTTTTACCCTATTTAATCTAAAATGTCTGAAAATTTCAAGGAAGAATAAGTATGCATGAATGTTGTTGAAAATACATGTTTTACCAAGAGAAATAAATTTAGGAACTCTCGAATGTTCATACGGCGTTCTTCCTTAGCACGGCAGCTTTTGCTAACTAATTTGAGTGATTTCAACTTTTCCCAACATTTAACATTGTACATGTAGAATTAATTATTTCAATACTCTGAAACCCAGGCCGAATAAAGTCCTGAAAGTTGACAACTCTGTCGATGCGATCGGCTCGACATAGTTCGGCAACCCGCAGTACAACCCTGCAACCCGCGCAGTATCGCCTCCGGTAAAAGGAGGCGAGGTGGTCCTTCATCAGCTGTTCCGAGATGTGTGGTTTCGTTCTGCGTCTGTTGTCAACTGCGAACCGAGAAACGGAGGAACTGCGAGTCGTTCGCCAACTTGCGTCGTGAGCGTTTCGTGCCGTGTGAATCGCGTAGTGCGGAGAAGCTGAAATCTCAGATTTACCACACTTAATTTTCGCCAGAATTTTCACCATCCGATAGTGTATAGTCTGGGAATACGATTCCAGTTTTTTTGTCTCGAAATCCGCCACGCGCGTCTGTTAAAGTGATTTCGTAATCTGTTGTTCAGTGCCAACTCGGATCACGGAATATTATTTAACCTTTCCTCTATTGCCAAAACCTGGAGGTACAATACCCTCAGGGTGTTTTTTAAGTCGCATTTGGATTAGCCAACACGTTACTGTGTTTGTTTTCTTTTAGTACTTCAATTTTTTAATAGTGGATGTCCGTCTCCTGCTCAGCTGTGTCTCCAGTTTTTTGGAACGGATGAATTTTTGAGGTTCGTAAACAAAAGCTTTTTGATTGCTAACCTCTTTGTTCTTTGATTTGTTTACCTTCTGCACTGCTCTGAGATAAATCGCGTCTTCACTAGCTAATTGAATTTTCGTCAGAGTAATTATGGTTTCTTTATAGCTCATCAGACCTTCCTCTTAACACAGTCCAATACATCAATGCTCATTGCGCAAATGGTTTGGCTCAGCTCAAGCGATTACCTGTGAAGGAACTGTTTGCTCAGAAACTATCTGTAATGCAAAATCGCATGATGGAAGTCGTGTACCCTCTTCTCATATTTCTCAGGTCATATATGCCGAGAGAATCTTGAACGATGCATTACTTCTACCCAAGGCATCACGTACAACTGGAAACTGTTTATTTTTGCTGTCAACGGTAAGATTTCTCTTTAGGAATGTCCAACTAGGTATTAAAAGCCAATTGCGATCAGAGATTATGCCGCTCTTGGACGGATATCTTGTTTTCTTGAGGTTATGCAGTTAGATATGAAGATATAGGTCTTTTGCAGCGAGCCTGTTCTAGGTAGGGAGAGTCGCTCATAATTGTATTATTTTAATGAGCATACCCTCACTCTATTTCATAGGCAGTTTGAACGCTGTTTTATTGATGTTACCTTGAGAGTTATTGCAGACGAAAGGATGTTTCTCAATTCTACATTCTACGTCCTTACGATTTATTTTTCTTATTAAAGTACCTGTACGTTTTTGTGTTAAAATTGATCACAGTGAATTTTCTTTTCATTTTTATGCAGGCAAGTAGGCACAACCTACTCGTAAAAATCTATGATGATTAAATCACGAATTACCCACCAAAATTCTGGAAAGTTCCTTTTTGTAGAGGTAGAGGTGTCACCAGCCAAGTGTGCCTTTGTTTACTTACATTCAGCGTGCTAGCGATCATCCCATAGGGATTGACTGCGACCTGATGGTGAGTGTAGGCAATCCTCAATTCGTATTGGACGACTGCATTGCAGTCGCTTGCAAACGGATTGTACACAAAAGCCAACTGCAAACTTAGCTGACAGCACCTCTACCAACGTTCCAGCCCAATTTTTTTTTCAATGAGTCATAAATGAGAATTTAGGCAGTGATATAACTGAAACATTTAGGAGTGCTACTCTTAAGCAGCTATCACACACACAGTCCCCACTGTGCAGTTGACAGTTTGTGCATGCGCAGAGACTTGTACAGTTGTACTGTATGTGTGATAGCTGGTTTACTCTTTATTTGATCATTGGAATGTTGCCAAATTTTCTCCAATAAATCATTTAATTTTGTGAAAAGTGACTAGTATTCCTTGTTATTTGCAGGGCACATTAAATTAAATTTCAATTATAATTCTCCGAACATTTCACGGAGATAAAATCAAAACATCTAGCAATTAAAAGCACTTTTTATCGGAAGAGATTTTGCAGCATCCAAATATTCACGTACTTTGCGTTTTTCCTGTGCTTCGTGGTAGCAGGTTGATTTTTGAATTTCATAAACGAAGGAGAAATAGAGTGATCCCATTAGTTGAAACAGGTTTGGTACTGATAGTCTGAGAGGGAAAATGATGGACCACCCAAGTATGGGATCTCTCGTGAGTTACCGTTGGTCAGTCTAGAACCTATTTCCGTCCTCAATTGCAACCACTGGGTTCCATTATAGGATTGCAGATTACTCCATTTTGTCTTCCTCTTTGTCTACAGCTTTGTCTATCAATTTCAGTAATCAGCCTGCAAATCTGGGATGTAGCAGGGTAAATGGGCCCACCTGGAGCAGTGGACGTAGTAATAATACTTTATTTGTTTTATTTTGGCAAGTCTGCCAGATGTTGTGAGATATTCTCATTTTTAGGATTTTTGAAAAAAGTTTGCCCCCCCCCCCTCATTCAACAGGAAATCCTAAAATACGTCCCTTTCTCCCTTCCGCCATGAAAGCAAATAATTCAAATATTTGACCTGTCATCCTTCGCTGCCGCTCTCTGATTACAGTCGCCGGTGACACAGCAGACGTACAAGACGTGCTGCACGAGTACTCGATTGTTGCCATTTATGTTCAAACAGAATATTTATTTTTGAGAAACTTTTCAATAATGATACCGTCGCACGAAGGAAAAACGTCGCGTGAACCTTCAGACGTTACCGCATTTCATCTTATAAAAATCGAAATTCCCAGGAAAATTGTGAATATTTTTCTTAAATTTTTCACACAATTTTACACGATGGAATGAAAAATATCTGTAAATTACCAAGAAAAATCTTCATATATTTTCTAAAAAATAAATATTTTATTGGGGGAGATTCGGCAACGTCTGAAGGCTCATACGGCGTTTTTCCCAAGCACGGCAAGGAAAAATTCTTAGGTTTCCTAGAGAATTCCTGTTTTATCTTAAGAAATCTTGCTGCTTCCAAATGTTGATACGTCGTTCTTTTCTGGCGCGGCAGCGCAGCGTGACGATGGCGCGAGGCGCTCAAAAAATTACCCAACGCATCCAAGGTTACAGCGGCGTGGGGTGCTTCGCGATGAATCGATTGGTCCAGCCGTTTAACTATAACTCCATTTAGGTATATGAACTCCGGAGTAGGTATGTGGTATCACGCGAAAATGAAGGAAAAGCTTAGCTTTTCGCCTGTCTCTTACTGACTTTCAAGAATATTATTCTC